TTGGATTGCCCCCCGCCGTTGCCGACGACCGGGTCGTCGGCGGCCGTCGCAAGCCGCGCCGCGCCCGCTGTCGAAGCGCCCCCGGCGGCAGATCGAATCATCGTGGGAACGCGCTCGCCCCAGCGCAGATGTCGATCATGGGATACTTCGTGACCGTCCGAGTCGCCGCCTGCACCTTGGCGGGTCCGTCCGCGTCGCGCCCCAGCACGGGCGGAGTGCGGCCGCCGCCTGCTGCGGCAGCGGGCTCCCGAGGCGGGCGGCCGCCTACGCAGCAGCGCCGAAAGGTGGCTGGCCGCGCGGCGGCTGGGCTGGCGGCGGCCGCGGAGCCCCCGACGACATGCGCCCCGTCTTCCCGGGGTCGCTGCGAGCGGCCCCCGTCTGTCCTGCGCACCGCGAGGTCTCATTTTCCATTCCTGCACGTGGCATTCACGCAACCCGTGCTCCTACAAAAGAAACACCCCTTCTCGCCGCTCGGACCCCTCCCACCGCCACCCTCGCTTTCCTTGGTTTTCCCTTCCTTGCCAGCGCCCTTCGGGCCCGTGCCATCTTTGGGGTTCTCGCCTCTGGAGTCCTTGCCTCCCCTCGGCACGGCTCAGGCAGCTGGGTCCAGGCGATCGATCTTCAACATATCCTCGCCCATCTATAGCCACGCGTCGAGTCCGGCGCTGTTCCGATCAGGAGCACCACGCCTATCTTCTCGTGGTCGTCGATCTTCTTGCTGGACCAGTTTTCGTAGTCGCGCACGAGGCGCTCAAAGGCTGCGAGAGCGTCGGGAATGCATTCAGCGGAATTGTACGCCATCGCCTGCATGCGATGACCGACGAACAAGCTCTTGCAATGCCGAACCTGCGGTGGTCATTGCGACGATGTAGTTCAGCTGCGCGCTGAGCCCGGTGACTTTTGGCTCCGTCGTTGCGCTCCGCCTCGTGACCCGCGACTGCCCTGCCTCCGTTAACTTGCTCTGGTGCCTGTGGTCCACGGCACCGAAATAGGAGTCGATCCTGACGCTTCAATCGGCGAACTTCGCCACGTCGCCCACGAAATCGCGTTTGCAAACCACCCTGGCGTCAAACACCCTGGTGTTGCCCACCGCTGGCTCTACGCTGGCATGCTGGAGCTGCTGCCTCTCGCCCTGGAGCTGCTGCACGACGCTCTCCTGTGTGTTTGCAGTCGGGCGCTCCGCGCCTGCACGGAAGTGCGCAGCTCCTCCAATGGCTACAGGATGTGGGGTTACCCACCACCCGAAGCTCTGACCTAGGAAGGCACCAACTATACACCAACACCGATCCTGGCCAGGATCACCCTGGGCCCAGGATCGGTGTATACGCCCTCCTGCCTTGCGCAAGAAGGCATATACACCGATCCTGGGCCCAGGGTGATCCTGGGCCAGGATCGGTGTTGGTGTCTAGTTGGTGCCCTCCGATGACCCGCGTCTCGGCGCGGGGTTGACCGCAGTCCCATGCGCGGGCCTACGCGCCGAACCACAGCGCACGGGCCGCAACCCTGCTGCAGCAGCGTCGCCCACGCTTGGGGGAGGGCGTTGCGGCGGTCAGGATGGCCGGGCCGTGTATGACCATGGCGCCGCTCCTATGACGCCATGACAGATACCCTGTCCGCCCGAGAAAGGAGCATGAGCCAAACGTCACTGGCGACGCGGATGCACCCTAGCTGACGGCTGCTATTCATGTGGCCTTTTCTGTATCCCAGCTCCACAGAGTTACCGGTGACAGGAAGAAAATTCTCATCATGAGTGCCTCATCCTACCGCGCGAGATAACTCATGTCGCAGGCCCGTTGCTAGAGTCTCCCTGGAGAGACACGTTAACTTGGACCCATTCAGTATTTGTATACTGAAAGTGTTCAGAATGTGGGCCAAGCATTCGTCTTATAATTTTGCGAAATGTTCAAGGATTAAGCGCTGATCGTGTCCAAAATGATGCTCTCGTTTCAGCGCAGCGCGCACTCGCTTTCGAACACAATGTTTAGCAGGATGGAGGACTGCCCTTGTTCATCATGGGCGTATCGCGTGACACTTCGTTGAGTTCAAAAGACCAGAACTTCAAAGCATGCAAAGCTGCGCGGATCCATGGCGGCACTTTCGATAATGAAGCTGCTGCTCGAGATTTACTCTAAGTTCATGACCACAAAATGTGAGCTTGTGCAACTGTTGCACGGATGGGGTTGGCGGTTTTTGTTCGAAAGAGGGCTATCGCTGGACACCTCGTTGAACTGTTTGATCATCGTTTTTCCGCGCTCCTGCGCCAAGAAGATGCAGGGTAATTCCTTTTAAGAGCGAGGCCCTCGCCAAAATGATCGGCCCAACTGTGCTGGTCTTTCAAGTGGGCGCTTCTTCTAGTGAAACCACTTCCTACCCCTCTTCCTCCTCCTCCTCCTCACAATCATCTTCGTATTATTATGCGCTGCTCCTCCTCCTCCTCCTTCTCCTCCTCCTTCTCCTCTTCCTCCTCCTCCGTCTTTTTGTTTCTTCTTCTCTTCCTCCTCCTCCTCCTCCTCCTCCTTCTTCTGCTCCTCCTCCTCATCATCATCATCATCATCCTCATCCTCCTTGCCTCCCTGTCTCCGTTGCCCAAGGGTTCCCCCAAGAGCCCCAACCACCGCTCGAGGAAGACACGGTACAAAAATGCTTGGCCAGGCTTTGGCCCAACGTCGGCCACAGAGGCGCTCACCACAGACAGGGGGCGGCGACGGTTCGCAGTGGGAGCGCGTTCGATCCCCGACCCCCCCACTCGCCATCGCTCGGACGACCATTCCCCGCGCATTTGTCGGTTACGTGGGTGTATTTTTCGGTGGCAACTCATGAGAGCCTCCCATACCATCGGCTCTTGCGAATCGACGCCAATCGACGCTAAATCAACGCCAATCGACGCTGAATCAACCCTCATCGACGCGAACCGACGCTATATCGGCGCTATCTCATCGACTCCAAGACGCCAATCGACGCTGGTCGACGCTAAGGACGGAGTTAAGGGGGTAGACCAGGCTCCCATGACTTGCTGCCATACTGCTCCTCGATGGTCCCTGGCAAAAAGAAATCACACGTCCGAGCGATGCCAAACCTGCTGCTAACCACAGGGGTGCACCGCGTGCTGGACATCCGCTGACGGAACCTTCCGGAAGGGCTGGAGGCGGTGGGCTGGGGACCTTCCGAGACAGTTTCTGTGACGCTTCCGGCGGGCTGGGGACTCCCAGCCCACCAGAAGCGTCGTAGAAACTTTTCCCCCATCGCATTTCTGGTCCAAGATGGCTCCACGAGGGCCTTTGGGACGACGAAACAAATCAAAAAATGGCCTCCGAGACGGTCCGAGAACAGCTCCAAGACTGCCAAGACGGCCCCAAAATGGCACCAAGCCGGACCCATAGGAAGCCAAGATGGTCAAGGATGCCCTCCAGGCGGGTCAAGAAGCCCCCGAAACGCTCCCAGAGGGCTCGAAAAACCTCCAGGAGGTCACCAAGCAATCGATGCTCGTTCGAGTTCTCACAGGTTTTCGAATTCTCGCCCGTTCGGGCTTCCTACGGCCCAAGGCGGCTCTAGAGGCCTCCAAGATAGCCCCACGACGACGCCAGAAGCCCCCAAGAGGGCCACAGGACGGACCGAGAGGACTGCCCAAGAGGCCCCCAAGACTGCCCCAAGAGGGCCCCAGGACGGCTTCGCAGACCTCCAAGAAGGCTCCACAGCGTCCCAGGAGCTCAAGGCTGCCCAGCAAGGCCTCAAAGACGGCCTCAGAAGACCAAGCACCCCCTTGCAGGGCGGTCCCAAAACGCAAGACGACGGTGGTCGCCGTAGACGTCTTCGATCATATATATATATATATATATATATATATATATATACAAGACTGCATTGGCGCTTCGCGCCATGCACCTTGGTTCTTAAAGCTCGGCATGCAGGATAACCAAATATAGCGATGATTCATTGTTGCCGTTTGCGCCATCGTCGTTATTCTAATGTTATGTATTATCCTTATACTTCCTCTCCTCTTACTCGTAATCTTCCTTGTCTGCGAGCCACTCCTTGTCCTCATCCCCAGTTTTTATTGCAGGGGCTCCTCTTTGGAGGTGTTCTTGGGCCCCTTTCAAAAGCTTTTGGGGGACCTCTGGGGGCCTCCTGGGCGCCTTTGGGGGCCTCTGGGGGCTTCTTGCGGCCACCTTGCTACCTGAACGACCGGGTCACGATTTGGAGTGCTTCGGGAGGCGTCTTGGGGCCATCTGGGGCTGTCAGCGGGGCTCTCTTGGGGCCATCTTGCGGCTCTGTTGGACCATATTGGAGCTCTTTTGGACTGTCTGGAAGCCCTTTGACACCGTTGTGGGAGGATTTTTGGGGCCTCTTCGGCGGACTCGGACGCACGGAATACCGAAGAACCGAATGTCCAAAAATTCAATAAAAAAACTAAAGGAAAGTGTTGTTTTTTGCACTTGGAGGACCTCTTGGGGGTCTTTTTTGGGTCGTCTTCGGGCGTCTTGGGGCTGTCTGGGGCCGCGTGGGGCTCTTGCGGGGCCGTTTGGCCGCCCTCCTGACCGCTTTGGGCCCGCTGGCAAGGCCCGGCAGGGGCGTCCAGGAAGCCCGGAAGGCCCGGGGGACCCATTGCAAGGCGTCCAGGGGGCCCCAAAAGCGCCAGATCCCGGGGGTCCGATTTTCCGGGGGGGGGGGGGTCCCACCCCCCCGGATTGTAAAAATATAGAAAAGGGAAAATATATATGTATGTATGTATTATATAATATATATATATATACATACATATGTACAGATATACAAATATACATGTATATACATATATACATATATATATGTATATATATATATATATATATATATACATGTATACACACATATACACATGTATATGTGTATACATAGATCTAAATACATTGATACATAGATACATGTCACACAGTCATACACATAGCACAAGCAGTACTTCAGAATGTACCAAGGCTTAGGCTCATGCCCAGCACATGCAGGCGGGGGGGCAGCTGGAGAACTCCATCACGAGGTGAATGACACCACCGTCGGCAAAAACATCGAGGCCTCGGCTCAGCTTCCCTCACAGGTCACCCCACGGAGGCCATGTTGGACAGTCGTCCTGCTGCTTGGCACGCGTCGACGCTCTGGAAGGCTGTCATCTGTGGAGAGGCGCACCCCCATCGAACGCGGGAGCTGGTGCGCGCGAGTGCCACCTAGGTGTGCCATGCAAAGAGGTTGCTAAGGCAGCCCAAGGAATACCGTCCTAGAAAAGCGTCGAAGCACAGGAGAAAGCATTCACACTTCACAGAAAGCATCCGCGTTCGGACCGAATCCAGCGCATGGACACCAAACCGTGTATCCGTTCATCTCCGATTTGACAGCTACGCGGTGTAAATTATAGGTTCGTACAACTGGTTCGATGGCGATGTGCTGCATGCTTTCTAAATCCCCAAGTAAGGTATGCACACGGTGGAGTTAAACTGTTGACGCGTGTACATCGTGGAGGTCAACTGCATGATTTCGTGCATGTAGCATGTCGCATACACAGACAACACACATGCCAATGCGAGTTGCCATATGTCGAAGTAGATGGGAAGGTAAACCAGGGAACGATACTTACGACTGGGAGGATGACTGAAGAGATCAGGAAGTGCAGATAAACTGGGTAGGGAGGGCGGAACGGATCAGTGGAGGCATACAGAAGGGAAAGGGAAAGGGAGTGACAGAGAGAGCAAGTCATATATATATATATATATATATATATATATATATATATATATATATAAGTTGAAAAACAAAAAAAAATGCATACGCAAGCATACAGCACATCAGTAGAAGTGAAGGAAGCCGTGAGCGAGACATGAACACGCGTTAGCGGAACTGTGCGGGATCCTCGCGCGGAAATATTTGGTGCCATCACGCGCGACACGACCGACAAGGCTTACAGGGAAGGGGACGAGACGTGTAAAGAGATAGAGATAGATATGTGTAGATACTTGTAAAGAGGGGACGGGAAGAGACGTGTTTAGATATATGTATGTAGTTGTACGTTTTTTTTATATATATATATATATATATATATATATAAATATAAATATAAATAATATATATAATGTACGGAACAAGGAGTGGAAAGACAGAGATGGAGAGAGAGGAAAGAAGCACACACAAAAAACCTGAGAGCCAGGCAAGCAACAGCCAGCGACGAATGCGACAAGGCAACGGCGAAGAGATTCAGAAAGAGAAGGATACACAAATGGAAAACTATAACAAAACAACAACAACAACAACAACAACAACAACAACAACAACAACAACAACAACAACAACAACAACAACAACAACAACAACAATTACTAGCACGTGGGGACACACCGTTCTCACCAGTGCCAGGGTTTTCATAGGAGGCGGGCAATACCCCCACTTTGTGGGGGGGCCGGTTCAAGCTCTACCAAATTTCCAAACGACTCTTCGCCACCACCCACACCCAGCTTCCCGCCCTATGACGTTCGGACACTTCACTTCGTGGCATGCGGACGACCGTGGCTACTATTCAGGGCCCCGCGGCCGACGACGACGGCGTGCGCGCGCGAAGAAAAAACGAATGTGTCCCGCATGGTATTATTTGACAGGGATGATGGCCCTGGCAGGTGCGCAACCGTTGTTGCAGAAGTTCGAAAAAGCTGCTCGCAAAAGCCCGTTTGACAGAAATGTTTAAAAAGTGTTGGGTTTCCTACGAATCCGCAAGAGCGCGCGGGATGAAATTTTGACAATTTTTTTTGAAAAACCATTGGTTTTTTGATGTTTTTATGTTAAAATCGCTACGAAAACTAAGGTTTTGGAAGGATTTCGTCTTGCGCGCGCGAATGTCCACTTTACCTTATTTTTTTGCAAGGGATTCTTGAAGTTTGGTTATGTTAGAACAAGAAATGTCCACTTTAGCTTATTTTTTGCAAGGGAAAACCGATCGTAACAACACAACCGGATCCGGACCAACCCGTTTTGCCTGAGACTTCCTCACGAAAATGATGAAAATGAGGCTGCGGCCTAGGCGCGGCGGGGGGGTCGTGCACCAGGGGTCCCAACAATAATTATTCTTTAGAAATAATAATGTTCAACAACAACAACAACAACAACAACAACAACAACAACAACAACAACGACGACGACGACAACGACAACGACAACGACAACGACAACGACAACGACAGCGACAGCGCTAACGACAACAACAACAACTACAATAACAACAATCATGTTAAGACTGTTCGCCCTTATATGCTCGAGTGTCCAATAACGCGTATTTCCCAAACCCTCGATACCCGCCCTCTTCGTCTTCGATCGAACCCCTTTTGGGGGGTATACCTTTCTTCCCTGCAGGCCGGGCCCCGGCAAGCGGCGGGGCGGCCGCGGACCGTCGGCCTGGCCAGCGGCAGCGCTGATCGGCGGGGCGGCCGCGGACCGTCGACCCGACCCCAAGAGGGACGGACAGGGGACCGACCACGACGACGACGACGACGACGACGACGACGACGACGACGACGACGACGACGACGACGACGACGACGACGACGACGACGACTATGTCGAAGAAGACGGCGACGACGACGACGGCGACGACGAGCGAAAGCGAGAGCGAAAGCGAGAGCGAGAGAAAACGACAGCAGGGCCACGAAGGGCACGAAGTAGGCCACGAAGGGCGACAGCGGGGACACGAAGGGAATGCGTATGGGGCCACGAAGAGCGCGAACGAGCGGGGGCCTCGAAATGCAGATAATGCGGGGCCACAGAAGGCAACTATGGGGCCACTGAGGGTAGCAACTGGGCCAAGTAGGACAGTGAGGGGGACAGAAATGGCGACAGCGGGTCCACGAAGGGCATGCACATGAGGCCACAACGGGCGCGACTCCTGGGCGCCTGGGTGTCGGGAGCGCGGCGCTTGGGCACATTGCAAGAAATTCCCACGCAAGGCCATCCTTCAGTAAGTTGCAAGCAAGTCTCCAGCGAGAGCGCGATTCCAGAGCGCCGGGAGAGCGATTCCTGCATAAATTGTAAGGAAGTCCCAAGCGAGAGCGCGATTCCCGAATAAGATGCGAGGAAGTCTCGGGCGGGAGAGGGGGTCCTGGTCTCAAGCGGGAGCCGTTGTTGTTGTAACCTGGGGGCAAAAGGCCCAGTTTGAGCAGGAAGACCTTCCCTGTCAAAAAACTGGGTGCGAGCGTCGAGGGGCACACTTTGATTGAGAAAAAACAGTATGCACCGGTGAGGGGGATCAACAATAATATTCTTCAGAAGTGAGAATTCAACAACAGCAACAACAACAACAACAACAACAACAATCATTTTACCCTCATGCGCCATGCTTCCACATGACACATTCATCCATCTGGATAACACACCCCATCATGGGGGATTTTTCTGGCATGCGGGATCCGATATTCCCTCACCCAGATATCCCGCCCAATAGGTTTGGCCACCACCTCTTCCGAGGAACTTCAACATCCATAGCTCGGACGGCACATCGCCTTCGCAATCGCCTTGCGCATGCCCCGCATCTCAGAGGGAGAGGAAGAGGAAGAGGAGGGGGAGATGAGAGAGATAGGGAGGGGGAGGAGGAGAAGGGAGGGGGAGGAGGGGGAGGAAGGATGAGTAGTTGTAGTAGCAGCAGTTGATGATATTGTTGTTGCGGCTGTAGCACTAGTAGTAGTGGTAACGGTAATAGTAGTCCAAGTAAGTAGAACTGGCTTGTGGCAGCCAAGCGTTCATAGCGACGTTGTTTTTTTATCCTCCTTTTAATGTCTTCTCTCCCTATCCTTGAGACGTAGAAGTCTCAAAAAGTTGGATGGCTCAGCGCATCCAGGAAACCTATCGCTGGACCGGCCCAGATATGGTTCCAGAAGCGGCTCGGGAAGCTGCGCAGGCGCCAGAAGCAGAGAAGCACCACGTACGGGCGCCGGCTCGGGCGTCCGGCCCAAAGCCGCTCCAGAATCGGCCCAGGACGGCTTCCCTCCCGGGCGCCGCAAGCAGAAATTCAGCATTTTCGAAAGAAAAATGTGTATTGGAATGGCCTCTTTTCGGCGCGATCGGAACTGCCCGGGCGTCCGGCCTGGGAGCCGGGCCGGGTGCCGGCCGGGCCGAGTGCCGGCCCGAGCTCCGGAATCGGCCCGGACGGCCTCCCGGGCGCCGGAAGCAGAAATTCAGCATTTTCAAAAAAAAAATGTGTATTGGAATGGCCTTTTTTCGGCGCCGCCTCGGAACTCGATTTTCCGGCGCCCGGGCGCCAGCTCGGGCGCCGACCCGGGCGTCCGGCCCGGGAGCCGGGCCGGGTGCCGGCCCGAGCTCCGGAATCGGCCCGGACGGCCTCCCTCCCGGGCGCCGGAAGCAGAAATTCAGCATTTTCGAAAGAAAAATGTGTATTGGAATGGCCTTTTTTCGGCGCCGCCTCGGAACTCGATTTTCCGGCGCCCGGGCGCCGGCTCGGGCGCCGACCCGGGCGTCCGGCCCGGGAGCCGCTCTCGGCGGCGAGCAAGAGCACCGAGCCCGAGTAAAAAAGGAGGAAGTCTCGAGCCGGAGCGTTGTTGTTGTTGGGGGGCCGGTTTTGGCGGAACCCCAAAACGCCTGAGCGTGAGCCTCAATTTCAGAGGAAATGCGGCCGGCGCCTCGGCGAGAGCGCCAGGGCGAATATAGGGGGTCCAACAATAATAATTGTTTAGTAATTAAGGTTCAACAACAACAACAACAACAACAACAACAACAACAACAACAACAATCATTTTACCCGAACGCGTGGTGTTCTCCCCAGTGCCAGGGTTTTCATACGACACCAGGCAATACCCCCACTTCGTGGGGGGGCATTACAAGCTCTACCAAATATCCAAACGACTCTTCGCGACCACCCAAACCCAGCTTCCCGCCCTATGACGTTGGGACACTTCACTTCGTGGCGTGCGGACGACCGTGGCTACTACACTGGCGTGGGGTACACACCCACAGAACTTGGTCACTTATTCGGGGCGCGCGTGTGCCCAGCATCCTGCAATTGTGACATACAATACATGACACAGACA